CCTGTATCTAAATGAATTAAAAATCAAATTAACATTAATTTAAGTTTATTTATAAATCATGAGTTATTACAATTTTCATTATTACGTTAATAGTAGGTAAGTACTTTAATAAGTAGGTAGGTAGGTAAAAAGACGAACTTTTAATGCTAAGCATTCTTCAGCAGCCAACCTTGAAACATACATAAAACTTCTCATAAAATATTGTCAGAGACACTTGACAGACTATTCATCTGTATATATTTCAGAATCATCTTATGATGATGTAGATGTAGAAGAGTCCGACACTTTGATTATAACCTAAAATATCAGCAGTCTTATTTTTCATAACCGTTTTGGATGGATATACGTTACTAGACCACGTTTCTTTTATATATTTATAGATGTTTACAATCATTATTTTTTCGGTTTCCGAAATATGCGACAATTTCCGCTTCTTTCGTGGTGACGTAAAGTCTTTAATGAGATTTTCATGTCGATGGATCCGATTTCATAATAGTGATAATATACAAAACGTCACCAAACAGTAACAAATTCTTTAATACAAAACGTAATAGTACAATTAATAAAACAAACTTAATAAAAATTCAGCACGTGAGACACAGGTTTATTATCTCTGAATGGCCGCTTCCTTCAACTACCTGCGACCCTACCCCGTACCATGAGACATGCTTAGCACGTAACAATACGTAATCTATAAAGAAATGTATGGAAGCAATAACTGTCGTTTTGTTTCGATGCTAACATAATACTTGAGGTCAATGTACTTTTTTCCGCCTGCCCTAGAAACGTACTATAACAAAGAAGATTTTGGACGCGCTTAGCGCGGCAATACAGCGGCGGCCGTAGCGCTCCTATTGTTACGCAATACCCTGTACACCATCTCACTCACTCTACGTTGACTCTCTCCCTCCCACTCACTCATTACCCTTGTCAGATATAATTCTAACGAATAAATTGGTAACCCTCGATCAATAATACTACTAGATTCCCGATAAGCGCTTCAAAAACGGTCCGAAAAATAGGACCACAAATACTTTTGTGTTCTTATTTCAAATTAGTATGGTCCAATCATAGCCATTTCAACGAACATTGAAATGTAATACCAAGAATACCGACCACCATACCGATAAGCGCTTCAAAAACGGACCGAAAAATAAGACCACAAATACTTTTGTGGTCTTATTTCAAATTAGTATGGTCCAATCATAGCCATTTTAACGAACATTGAAATGTAATACCAAGAATACCGACCACCATACCGATAAGCGCTTCAAAAACGGACCGAAAAATAAGACCACAAATACTTTTGTGGTCTTATTTCAAATTAGTATGGTCCAATCATAGCCATTTTAACGCACATTGAAATGTAATACCAAGAATAAAATAGAGTAAGCACGAATTTGTTAACATAATATTTTTAACCTTATCACTTAGATTTTTAGTTTCATTCTAGATATTTGTGTACATATGACTTTTTATGTTCAAGCGGTATCTTTGTCGGATGCCATAACTTAAATGATATTTTGTAATGGTATTTAAACTTTATGTTTGAGTGATAAGGTTATATTTCATAGTAAGAAATATAGATGTTTACTTGTGTGCAAACATGGCCACTTCGTGACTTATTTTTGATCCTTAATCTAGTATCATTATCATTGATCGAAGATGGTAACACACGAAAGTCATTGCGCAAGGATAATATATTATAATATATGGTAATAAAGTAAAATGGCAATGGTTAATGGTATGAGCACACTCGCCGTGTTGGAGACCGATCGTGAATCGGTCTCCAACACGCGCTCTAACGTAAATGCTCTCTATGCACTAAGCTGTCCACCGATAGGGAAGGCCTCTCGTGTTTATAAAAGGAAAGTGACAAACGAAATCATAGTCCACCTGAAATGTAAATAATGCAGCGCGGCACAAGGCACCGCCCTGTTCACCACCTCACTCATTCTTTTACTCTCTGTGTCTCCTACAGTACACGCGACCATCAGCAGTACAAATAATTCGCAATCTCCTCATTATGTATATGAAAAAATATCTCCAAAATGTCAACTAACACGTTCGAAATGAAAGGGGTAAACTATTGTATATACTTCCAACCTATAAGCGTGTTAAATCGAAAAAATGTTTTAAATATACTGCCTTCAAAATTTGGAATAAAATACTATATTTAGATTTAGAAAGAAATACAAAGTATGATTACTTGAACAACAACAGTTTAAGGCAAGTACTAAATATTATATATTACAAACTACCGAAACTTTCATAGCACATGAATATATTTGTAATTGGTCTTTATCTACGGAATTGCTGTTCTGCAGTACTGACCATTTCGAATCAAAATAAGTTTTGTTTGACATTTGTATGGGTTAACTTTAAGGCCAAACTTGTCAGACCAGTCCTTTATATACTCTAGCTCTCTATTAACAGAGTCAATTGCTGTAGATATACAGTCGACCTTCGCGTGTGAGTACAACTGCAGGTCATCAACATACAAGATTGAGGGTAATGAGATTTATAAATATTAAAAATAATAACGGAGATAGAATACCGCCTCGAGGAACACAAGTATGCAAGTCACACCTAGTTGATGAAGACTTGTCAATGCGAACTGACTGCTGGCGGCCTCGAATAAATATGAGGACCACTCCGAATCCTCATCTCATTATCTCATGATTATAGAAAGTGAAAGGATAGACAGTAGGATGTCGTGACTGATGTCATTAAAGGTGTTAGAGACGTCAACAAAAGTTAGCACTGAGACTTTAGTTTCCACCATGCCTGTCCTAATGTCGTCAGTGACTTTACAGAGCGCGGAAACATTGCTATGACCTGGCTTGAAATCAGATTGTAATGGGCTTAACAGGTTCGAGAAGATAAACTTTGATAGCTGTTTGTGTATACAGGCCTCTAGTATCTTTCATAAAAAGGGAAGAATGGATATAGGTCGGAAGTGATTGGCTACAGAAGGATTAGAAATTTTGGGCAGAGGAATAACGAGAGCTATACGCCACAGCAACGGGAAAACTCCAGAATCCAGAGAAAAGTTTATTATAGTGGAAATAGCAGGGAGAAGATGGTCTATGATATCAATAATCATACGGCGACTGACATTGTCCCAAACAGCATTAGACTTAATAGAGAGTATTAGCTTTCTCATCTCATTCGTCGCTAATTAAGAAAATCGAAAAGGAGCAATATTAGGACGAAGTAAACTTACTAATAGTTTGATATTTGGTTTGGTGATACAAAGGTGTATGTGAAGAGAAGTGAAGATTGATATCATCCAAGCCAATTGTTCCCTGAAACTCAGGATGGGGTATTTAACTAATACCCATGGTTCCAAGGAACTTCCAAATATCTGCGAGGGAAGAGGATATGATGTTTCTAAGAATAAATCGGCGTTTCGGGTTGCGTATCAAATATGAACCAATTTTTTAAGCTCAGTCTCTACACTTCATCGAAATGCGGACCTTTGTCGTCATCCAAGGTGCAGGCAGTCGCTTTATCTTTACTTTTTTGAGATAAGCATGCATATTATAAAGATTAATTAATATGTTATTAAATGCGCTAACTTTTTCGTCTACCGTGTGAGCGGCTATCACATTGTTCCAGTTAATTTTAGAAGCATCCTGACACAATTTCTCTACATCCATACGACCAAAACAACGCAAGTGCAGGATTTTAGATGTCGGTTTAGGAGGTTACAGGATGTAGGAAAGGAAAATGAGATTATAATGGAAGAAACCAGAAGCATAATATTATTCATGAGAAGAGACAAAAGTGGGGTTTGAGGTGAGCATTTAATCAAACCAGGTGTTCTCTCCGTCGGCATTGGGTTGAGTAGTTTGTAGAGGTAGAGCATGGATGCCAACCGACTCGATTATTTGAAGGAACTTATAGGAACGGGATGAGTGCAGAGCCAGGAGATGTGTATGTATATATATATTATATATATTATAATTATTATAGGGAAGAACACTCGTGCATTGAAGTAATATATACTCCTTACTAGAACACATGGCGAACAAAATCAGTGCGGCGGTACCCGGCGCGTGGTCGGAGGGACACAGTACCTTTTTATGGCTCAGAGCAAGGAAGTTTGTATCTTACGTATGATTTTTGACTGCTAGCCATAGGAGGAAACACATGTCGCCGAGAGAGTTATAGAGGGAGTTATATGCATAGTTTAACTCTGTGATAGACTTCATTATGACGATATCTGCAGTAGAACCATATCCTAATATGTATTTTACCATATAAATGTGTTAAGTAGACAGTATATCACACTTCAAATGTTACTGTATCAAATAATATAAAAAGGCTCAGTTCAGCAAAATTACAGTATTAGTGAGTCATAAAATAAATCATTTTGATTGACAGTGCGCGAAGCAAAGGGTAAAATAATATCAATAGACGACGATTTATGTCGACGAAGAGAATATGTTTTTAGCGGATTGTTTTGTTTAATGTATAAAGCAAAGTGCTTGCTGAAAACACTGCTTTAGATCAACCACTGACACCAATTTACTACCACGCGATATTACTAAGACTCTTCTTATTACAAACAGAACAATGTATTGAATGTTGCATCCGATTCGAAGGATCATGAAAAAGTGTTGGGGAGGAAAAGGAAATGCGCCCATTTTTTAGATGAGTCACTTTAATGCACGGTTACAATGATGTGCCTTTTTCTTTAATCAGCAGGATATTCTGTGTACAAGAGAGATAAGAATTTGGAAAAAGCTAACAAATACACTACCAGACAGATTATTAGGAGCTAGTCTTTTATCGTACAGCGGTATTTTATTGCGACAGCAAGATCGAAAAGATCACAAAACTAAAAACTTTTCTTATAATAAAGTTAGCGCAGGTAGCATAAGGGAATCCATTGCCCTATATCGTACATTGGAGTCCACATTACCCTTTTTCGAACCCTTTTTTTGAAAATATATGCGCAGCGCGAGTATCTATTTTCAAAAATGCTGCCTGTTTCATACCGTTCGCTTCATATCGTCGTATCGTGCGATAGAGAAATTTGTAAGTCTTGGAACCCATAACCTAGCCGTGCGGCTGCTGCGCCATTTCGGCACCGTGGTGCTGCGATGCTGCTCAGTTACCTTTTCAGTCTCGCGCAGCAGGGTATTGTAAGTTGTGATCACGAGGTCGAAGGGGGCCAGGCGGTGCGGATTCTGCACACTGGCGGCACCGTGGTGCTGGTACACGGACATGCGGTGCGGCTGGCAGTGCTGCGCCACCTCGTCCGCCCACTGCTGCATCAGCGACGCGGGGCACACAACCAGCGTGCCGCCGCGTAATACTGCACCATTACATCAAACATTTATTTTCACTTATACGTTACGTGTTTATGTTTACCTTATGTTGTTTCCACTTATACGTCTTTAAAGGATATGTATGAAATTGAGTGCTTGACGTTGTTTTTTAACAGTTATACAAAAATTTGTGGATAATAAAATGATAGATTATGAGCATAAATAAATGGTTTTTGTTTCTGTAAAACATAAGACTGTCACAATAGTACATAAGGATATAAGGGATTTAAGTAGCTGATTATGGAACCGTGTGAAATATGCGCACAAGCGAAGCGAGTGTACTAATTTTAAACGTTTTAATGATAGGTTACTTATGTTCCTAATGTATCGTACATTATTTTACAGTCACTAGGACTTAAATCAACGATTTTAATTGAAAAATTGTAGAATACTAAGTAATTATAAAGACAAAAATCTTGTCAGACCAAGCAAGGTAGCAGTGATCCCCCTTTCTTATCAACAGTAACAACATCGATCTAAAGTCTTAATTAAACGGGACCAAAGGTGCAACGAGATTAGATTTACAGAAGTTTTGTATGATCCAGATTTATCAAACCTGAATTCAAAACTGTCTTATTATTGTTCAGCAATTGTAATGTGACGGTAAATGGTAGTAATAATAATTGTGTTTTTAAATAATTGTACTTTAAAAAATATAGACAAGCTGAAAATGTACAAAAAATTTAAATAACTTTATGTCAAGTATTTTTTATATTTCTCTATCAAATTATTTAATGCGTTGTTTGTAATTTCAAGTAATCTAATAGATGTTAATAATTAAAGTTCTATTCTTCTGTATTTATTATTATGTTTCAATAATTGTTAAAAAAATTAAAAATTATAAAATATTATAAATTTTATGCGTGACTTAAGTAATATACCGTACAATAATCGGCTAGTTAAGTCCCGCATGAGCGTGACTTAAACGTAGTTTTGAGTCACCGTGTACCTACTATAAAAATATTTTTTAAACGGAAAAACGAAAACTAATGCCTTTCCTATTGCAGAAACGATACGTTTTTAAATATATTCATTTGTCGATGGCAATACATAATTAAAGCGTAGCGTTCTTCATTATAAAAAAATATAAAAAAAAGTCATAATATTGAAACATTGAAGTGATTATTATTGAATAAAAGAAATATATTTAGAAAAAGGATTGAATAGGCTATGTTATAAACTAAAAAGCCTTTAAATATTATCTGACACGACTGAATAGACTGTATGGTCATTGATTATTGCCCGTTTCAAGGGAGACTTAACTTATGTAAATTAAACGCGATGAAATCCGTTAAAGTAGTTTTAATCAATGTGTAGTGTTCGCGTAAATATAAGAAATCATTATGGAGACTTAACTCGGTAACTTCGAGTTTTAACTTGTTATGCGCATTTGGCATTATGGCTGTGTTTGTGGATAGATTTCGTGCTTTTATTTTTGTGTATTTATTTAACTTAACCCTTGGCTTATCTCTGTTGCTTATTCTTCTATGTTGCTTCGGATTACTGGACAGTAGGTTGTTGCACCCACATAATGACAATAATGTGGTACTTGGGTTAAAAGAAGAATAGAGCAAACAATGTACGCCCTCTGGCTGTTTTTCTAGATGACATTTTATTAATAATTGCAGAAAATAATTACACAATTTAAATATTATTTTAAAAATTATTTAATAGTATCTACAAAAAGCATTCTTTGGTACCTCTAATTTATTAAAATAACTTATCACAAGAACGAGTGATTTTACTACATAGCCTACAAATCATAAAACAAAATAAAAATATAACGCCATGTGCTGCAAAAATATGACTTTTTTAAAATAGGTAACAAATGTTTTTAATCTTCAAAATAAGACATATTTGAACTTTGTTCACGCCGGGCCCAAGCTTGTATGGGACCAAGTTCATCTCCATTGCTTCCACAGTGGGAGGTAATACAGAAAACGGATGATAACAAAATTGGGGGGGAGTACAATTTGGTGTTGCAGCTACAGCTATCTATCGTGTACATCCAATATTTAATTACACCACGCGATAGCTAAAGAATCAGAGTTCGATTACGTGGAGCGAGGACTGTGACGCCTCGCGTGAGTTAAGGTTAAGGTAGATATATGCTTTGTGAGCTCAAAGTAATGCATAGCAACAAGTTGAAGGGTGATTCAGCAGTCACTATTTACGTGTATAAAATATTGCAAAATATATAATAAAATGTTCTAGAACAAATTGTGCTGAAATTCATGAGTGTAAGTTATACAACAGCCTTTGTGTCCTTTTGTTACAAACTTACTTTCAAAAATTATATTGAAAATTGCAAAATACGTAATTGTCCAGAACAAATTATGCTGATATCCATGGGAATAAGTTATATGCCACTCTATATTTATTATTGTTTCCAATTATACTGCATGACTATTTTTACCGTCTGGAAAAAAATAGGGTGTAACAAACGAACGTTGTAAAAGCCATACCACCAGGCCGTGATTTTTTCTCCTGTTCTTTAGACAAGGTATTTTAGAAAATGCCAATGGCTGTTCGTAGGGACAAGTATGTGAAATTCCACTACATATGAATGCACGATCTTGTAAAGGCTCTCTGAATATCTTTTCTTTGCGACAGCACTACGTATGTTGGGTTCCATATTGCACTCGCATATTTTAGTTGGCTCCTTCGCTCGGTCATAAAGTAAAACTTTTGTGTTTAGATATTTGAAAGCCTCTGGTGATGCGTTTAAGGAAGCTCAGCATCTGCGCAGCTTGATCACGTTGCGTCAGGGTCTTTCCTACTCCAAAACTTTTATCCCCTCAATAATTTTAGGAGGCCCATGTGAATTAATGGGTTCTATTTAGAATTTTATTTTATAACAAAGAAAATAAAGCAAGGAAGAATATATATAATAATTTACAACACTATTAAATTTTTAAATTGAAAGGTAGAAAACTTACATTTGCAAGTGTTCTGTCCAGTATGATCTTCGTACTCGTCGTCGTCATCGTCTATGTCGATTTCTTTGTCAATTGCTATCAGCGCTATCATCGTCATAGTTTTAGCTAGACCCATGCCGTCTGCTAGAAAAAAATTAAGCATAAAGGTTTTTGTCAATGTTGCTATCCTAACTGCTTCATTAAGCAGGTCTTATCCGACACTATTCCGATAGTATCCCGGTCAGCCTGGGTGAGATTAGAATGGCTCTCCATCACCTTAAAAACAGCAAGGCTCCAGGCAAGGATGGAAATACAGTGGAGCTTCTGAAAGAGGGTGGAAAACCGGTACTTGAATCTCTTCAGAAGCTCTGTAATTCCGTACCCTGGGGGAGGCAAGACTACAAAGGCATGGGGCAGAAGTGCGGTAATCTTGTAATTTAAGAAAGGCAACAACACTTTCTTCAAGAACTACAGACCGATTTCCCTTAAGAGCCGCGTCTACGTGCTGTTTTCGAGAGTCATTACGAATCGTCTCGCACGCAGACTCAACCACCTCCAGACTCTCGAAAAAGCCGGTTTCCGAAAAGGCTTTAGACAATAGACCGCTTACACAACCTTCGGCAAATTGTATAGAAAACCGAGGAGTACAATCTACCACCTTGCCTTGCGTATGTGGACTATGAGAAAGCCTTTGATTCCGTAGCAATTTGGGCGGTGTTCACACTTCAGCGGTGCCAAGTTGGCTGTCAGTATATCGAAGTGCCGAAGTATTTGTACAGTAGGGCTAAGATGATAAGAAGCTAGGCTATCCCAGTACAGAAACAGAGTACGAAACCTATCCAACTGCAAATAGATGTAAGACAGGGTGACGTAATATCCTCGAAACTGTTCACCGCGGAATTGGATGACGTTTTCAAGCTACTGGACTGGATACGATACGGTATTAACATAAATGACGAGTATATAGCTCAACATCGATTTGCCGACTATATAGTCGTAATAGTAAAATCACTGGAGGACCTAAGCACAATCCTCAATAACCTCAATAGTGTCTCCCATTGGATAGTTGTTAAGATGAACATAGACAAAACGAAGATCACGTTTAATGTCCATGTCACACCTATGCCGAAAGTTGTTGGGAGCACTATGCTTGAGCTACTGGACCGGAAACGATACGATATTAATATCAATGGCGAGGGAATAAGGATATCATTACACCCTTCAAACCATCATCATCATAATTATCATTACAGCCGTTCACAAATCTACTGCGGAACATATGCCTCCCTCATGCACACGCACACGCACACGCGCACGCGCATGCGTGCATAACACACAAACCTAGGATGCCACCAGCTGGTCGCTGCGTCTCCCTCCAACGCAGCCAGGTGAGTACATGCAGCTGGTGGGGCATCAGCTGCGTCTTTAGTAGTGCTGGATTGTCTGCGAATTCGTTCTCTAGAGGCCCGGATGCCAGGGACTCGTGCAGGTCACGGAAACGCTCCAGTATCAGATTCCGATCCTCCATGTGGGTTGCCATTGCTGAAAATTAAATTTGTATGAAAACTATTCTTCGGCGTGAGAAAATAATACTTAACTTTCTTAATGTCATGTTTTTCGTTGAAAATAAAAAGCGAAAGGATAATGTGATGTAAAAAAATAGTATTAGTTCATGCTATGATGCACTCAGTGCCGCGGCCGCATTACTTACAATAAAATAAATGCAAATAATTTACTTTATAAAAATCAATTCGGTTTCACAAGGGGTCAATAACTGATGCTGGTATTGAGTAGATTAAATATATTTTCATTGCATTTTTTTAAAGGATAAGTGTAGCAAACGAGCACACAGTCCACCTGATGGTAAGCGGATGCTGTGGCCCATCGACATCTACATTTTTCCTCGATTAAGAATCAAAATGCAGATGCGTTGTCACCCTTGAGGACTAAGATGGAATGCCTCGATTCCAGTTAAACAGGATTTTTTAATAGGTTACAGGTGACAAACGAGTCACCCATACACTCGTTTGTCACCGACACACAGAGATAGTCCACCTGATGGTGAGTGATTGCTGTAGTCCATAGACATCTATATCTATTCTCGATTGTAGATCAAAATGCAGATGCGTTGTCACCCGTGAGGACTAAGAAGAAATGCCTCATTTCCAGTAAAAATGGTCTCCGAATCTCTACACTTACTGCTATTTTAAACTGGCATTCGGTGAGAGCGTAGTCCTTCCCTATCGAGCCGACCCATTCGTGTTAAAACTTAAAACTATACTTCTGCTACAGCAGGGCTCTACCACGTAAAATGATCAAATTAATCAAGAAACTTCAATATACGGTGTAAGAAGCATTTCATATATATAAGTTCTTAAATTAATTATTTCATATTTAAGTAACAGAACGCAAAAAGTTGTCAATAATAGTATGAACTCTTCCGGTAGGGCGAATGTCAGGAGATGAGTCAAACAAAAGAATGATGACATAAGACTGCCTTTATTGTATAATAATTTGGGTTATATAATATTATTATAACACTTGTGTGTGTACTTCTATTATATTCTTACAACTACTCCTACACCTTCCATCCAAAAGAGAAAAAAAAGTGTGACAATACAAGGATACTATTATTTTTTAAACATTAAAATATTTTATTGTTCTAAATATTAGGAACACTTACATTATAAAAAATATATACATCATCATCATCATTACAGCCCTTCACAAGTTCACTGCTGAACATAGGCCTCCCCCAAGTAGTGCCACAAAGCACGGTTCTGAGCCACCTGCATCCATCGACTTCCTGCATATCTTACCAGGTCGTCACTCCATCTAGTGGGGGGTCGCCCTACACTACGCCTACCGGTACGAGGATGCCACTCGAGAACCTTTCTTCCCCATCGGTTATCGGTTCTTCGAGCTATATGGCCGGCCCATTGCCAATTCAGCTTACTAATTCGTTAGGCTATGTCGGTCACTCTGGTTTTACTGCAGATATCCTCATTTCTGAGTCTATCACGCAGAGGAACTCCGAGCATAGCTCTCTCCATAGCTCGCTGAGCGACCTTGAGCGTCCTCATACGGCCAGCAGTGAAGGACCACGTCTCAGATCCGTAAGTCATCACTGGCAACACGCACTGGTTGTACAATCTAGTTTTCAGAGATTGAGGTATACCTGACGAGAAGATGTGTCGTAATTTCCCGAATGCTGCCCAGCCGAGTTGAATTCGTCGATTGACCTCTCGGTCGAAGTTGGACTTACCTAGTCGGACTATTTGTCCCAGGTAAACATACTCGTCAACAACTTCGAGCATAGTACTCCCAACAACTACCGGCATAGGTGTGACATGGACATTAAACATGATCTTTGTTTTGTCCATGTTCATCTTAAGACCGTATTTAGCTGTTGGGAGGCACTATTGAGGTCATTGAGCATAGTGCTTAAGTCCTCCAGCGATTCTGCCATAAGCACTATATCATCGGCAAATCGAAGGTGAGTGATGTACTCGCCATTGATGTTAATACCGTATCCTTTCCAGTCCAGTAGCTTGAAAACGTCTTCCAATGCAGCGGTGAAGAGTTTCGGGGATATAACGTCACCCTGTCTTACACCTCTCTGCAGTTGGATAGGTTTCGAGCTCTGGTTCTGTACTCGGTTAACTATCGTAGCCCTACCGTACAAACACTTCAGCACTTCGATATACCGACAGTCAACTTGGCGCCGCTGAAGGGACTGTAGCACCGCCCAAATTTCGACAGAATCAAAGGCTTTCTCATAGTCCACTACGCCAGGCAAAGTGGCAGATTGTACTCTCTGGTCTTCTGTACAATGCCGCAGGGTATGTATGTGGTCTATGGTACTGAAGCCTTTTCGGAAACCGCCTTGTTCGGGAGGCTGGAAGTCGTCGAGTCTGCGTGCGAGACGACTCGTAATTACTCTCGAAAACAGCACGTAGACGCGGCTCAGAAGGGAAATCGGTCTGTAGTTCTTCAAGAGAGCGTTGTCGCCTTTCTTAAAGAACAAGACCACCGCACTTCTGCTCCACGCCTCTGGAGTAGTGCCACCATGGAAGACTGAATTGAAGAGCTTCTGAAGGACTTCAAGTACCGTACCGTTCCACCCGCTTTCAGAAGCTCCGCTGTAATTCCATCCTCGCCTGGGGCCCTGCCGTTTTTAAGGTGCTGGAGAGCCATTCTAATCTCGCTTAGTCTGACGTCCGGGATATCATCGGAATAGTGTCGGATAAGACTTGCTCTTGGATCGTTACTCACACTTGCGTGTGGCTCCAACAATATACCCCCCATGAACAATTACACAAATAAAAAATATATACATGTAAAAATAAATATATGTATGTATTATTACGACATTTTTTTATTTATTTTTATTAAAAAAACCTTATTCTGACATTCTAGGGATACTTTTTTTATTAGATTGAAAAATGATTATTTAACATAGATTACTTATCAATAATATAATATTAAGTAATAAATTGTAATCCACAGAAATAATAATGATAAGACATTAAGACTAAGACTAAGAATAAGGTATTTAGACAAAGCATATAAAATTTGTTTTATTTATTATTGAAAAAACGATTTCGTGCGGTTTTTATGGACTAATTCATTTTTACCATTTTTCGTTATTTCTACGTTTGGTGGCATATCTTTAACAACTTTATGAGGACTTAGGACGCTTAGTTTATTACCTGAATCATTTTTAAGAATACTAAATCATTTACATTGTATTTTATAGACTTGGTATATTTATCAAATACAATTTTTCTCTTTTCTTTAGACTTTATCTAATTATTCCTTGCTTCTCTTTGTGACAATTGTAACCTGTACTTGAGCTCACATCGATAGTGATCGTAGTTATAAAGTGGCTCTAAATCTACAGTGAAATTAATAGGAAGTAAACATTTTTTATCAAAGACAAGTTCGTTAAGTGTGAATTTCGTCTCTGTGTGAACTGTCGTATTATAGACAAACAACCAAAATGGTAGAGGAAAGTAACTAAATGGCTAGTGCTTTAAATGGGCTAGTAAAAGGTCTCGAAAACAAATAATTAAAAGGCCTGCAAACGAATATCTCCTATCGCATTCATTAGCCCCAACACCGCAATCACTCTACCTCGAGAGAAGGCAAGAGGTTGTTGCTTCACCGCTCTCAAAAACTTTCGTAAGATGAGTAAAAACATGTTATTTTATCAATGATAATCAGAAGTAAATAGTGTAACTATATCTTTTATTTGTAGAATATAAGTTTCATTTTATGACTTGTGAAGTGCAAGTTCAACATTATTTCTTTCAAGAATTTTGGATATGGGCTATGACTATGATGCTAAATATGGGCTGGCCCATATTTAGGTAATTGTATTTGGGTAGTTAGAAATTAGTCTTTAAATGTTTTTTTTTTACTAAATGACACAGACGCAATCAAAAGAACCAAGTAAAAATTGGTATGAAGAAGAAATGGTTAAACTTATAAAAGCGGTTCGCGAGAAGACAACAAAATCATCATCCAATAATGAAAAACCACCGAATAACTATGCAAGACTGCCCCTTTCACCTAAACCTTTGATTGCAATTCTTAATGAAGACAGTTTGATGTTCACCGAAGCATCATTCTCAAGGTTCTAGATCTGACACAGAAAATAAATTTCAATTTAGACCTTCAACCTTTACATCCGGATGTGACACTCAAACAGAAGAATCTACTTCTAGAACTCACATGAATCTATAAATAATGGTGAAACATCATCTTCCAGAATTGATCGCAATAGCCTAGGCCTAGTATCTCCTTATGACATAAGTCCTGTACCAAAAAATCAGAAAGATGTCTAATTGTGATAGAAAAGCTGCTGTGGCTTCTGTTGTAACTTCGTCACCCCATAAAAAAGACCCTGCTTAAAAAAATAGAAGAATATTGAAAAATAAAAGAAAACCAAAAACCAACCAACCAACCAAGTCAAAGTAGAGAAAACAAAACCGTAAAAAAAAACAAGACAAGAAAACAACTAGTGATGATGAAGTGATTGACGATGAAGGTGGAGAGGTTTTCCAGTTTGGTTCAGACCCTGAACCAGATATTATTGCCAAGCCAACCAAGCTCCTGATTCTGCAGATGCACAATGCCAGCAACTTTTTTCAGAAAATTCAGGAGACTCTGGATTAAATTCTTGATGTGTGGGCTCTAGGCACATAATGGCTGTGCTGGGCCAGAATTTGACAGTTGGATATGAGACATTTGGATCTAAAATAATTCATTTTTTACTCTTACCAAAGTTAATTATTGATCTAGATAAGCATGTATGCTCATAATCTTCTTAAAAGATAATAAAGTTGCTATAGCCCATATTTGAGTACCTGTTCCATATTTAGTGCCAATTTTGCAATTTTGTTTAATGCTCAATTTTGATAGTATAGCTTAGTAATAAAAACATAAGACTGTTATTTTGATCTTTCAAAATATATGTCTGATTATTATAACATATATAAAGTTGATTTTTACATAGTTTTTAATTTTTGACCTTAAAA